CCTCAAATTTGAAGGACAATGTTAAAAGTTAAGTACTATAGATACAAATTATATAACTCTATAATAAAATGAAGAAATTAATGTGGAAGGAAGCTCAGTACATACACAGGATCATAATACTAGCAAGTATTAGAATTGAAAAGTTGATCTGGCTTTGTTTTAAACCAAAGCATATGCTATTTATTAAACAGAAGAATATAATACAACTAATCAGAAAGGCTGAATTCAAAGAGGAGCGTTTTAATTGGTAAATAGGTAAATGAATATGGTAAGCATGAAATGTTAACATGCTAATCTTTCATAATTCTTAATATTTACAAAAAGAAATCTTAATACCAATTTTTACTATTTAATCTGATATATAACTGGTCATAATTTATTAATTTTATTCTCAAAAGTCACATCAAAACACCAGTTTCAATAAAAGTAATTAAAGAGAAAAATAACGCTCCTAATTACTCTTAAAAATATGTAGATTTCCATTTTTATTTTATTTATATTGCTAAGACAAGGGAAATTTTCATTCATTTCATCTTTATAATCTTACCTGTATCACATAAATTCATTGGGCTGGCTAAAGAATAAAGTGGTAATTTTTCTGATTTAGTTCAGGAAATCCTAAATTTCTACACACAACTTTTTCTTAATGTATTTGAAATTATCTTAATTTTATGACTAACATTTCTTGATATATTTCTCATTGTAGCCCTAAGGGAGGAATACAGTGAGGATAAGAAATATAAAGAGACAGTCTGAACATTTATGGAACAGTTTTCATATGGATTTTAATATGCATAAGTTACATAGTGCTTTATCTACCATATATTCCCTAGGCTCATGGGAATTACATCAGTGAATTAAAAGTGCCAACATGAGCCAAAAGAAAATACACCCAGGGTTTTTCATATTTTCAATATTAGTACTACAATTAGAATAGGAAGCTTATGAAACACTGTCCAGAGAGACATACTAGCCAGAGATAAAGATTGCATGAAGTATTCGGCATACTACCTAAATGAGAGGATTATTAACTATTGAAACTATTTGGGCAGGTGTTCCTTAAATCTCCAAATCTGTACTTCTCTGACAAATAACCCACTTTTCGTTTTTTCCCCGTGCTAATTAGAGTGAGAGAGTGAACCCTGGTCATGACATACATGTACAGTTTTGATTATATATGTGATGATGTAGATAGGTGTGCATGTGTATGTATATATATATATATATACACACACACACACACATAAATACAGGAAATGGGAATAAGGAGCTTTGGGTATATTTAAAATCTGTATATATATCAAACCCATTGCTATGCAGTAGATTCCAACTCACAGCAACTCTAGCGGGCAGAGGAGACTGCTCTCCAGGGTTTCAGTAAATTCACATCTTTAATAGAGCCGAATAACTTACCTTGTGGTTAGTAGTCTCTTGTTTAACTCACCATGCTACCACTACTGTAGTTTCTCTAAGGAACCAAGCCTAAGACACTGGGTTACAAATAAGATCCATCCTGACTGTGTCTTTTAGCTTTTGGTAGAAGTTCAGAAGTTCAATAATCAAATAAAGTACCTGATATATATCATACTGAGCATAATTCAGTATAATCAGCATAT